TGGAGGGACACTTTTTTGTTGTTTTTTTTTTTTTTTACTTAAAATCTACATTTATCTGTTTAAAAAATAAATAAAAATATTTTTAGAACACTGTGAAATATATGATTATGTGTTTTTAATACCTTCAAGTAATGAATACTATTTCATAATTCCAGTAAAACGTGTCAGTTGCATTTTTCTATCTTACAAAAAAGGATCTTTAAATAAGTGTACGTTTTGATTACATGCACTTTAACCTCAAAAGGCTATATTTAGCCACAGATTTATCCCTTAATCCTCTTCCTTGACCTTATAACATTTTAGCTATCATTTTAATAAAGACTCTGTTATAAACTAATTTTATTTCTCTTCATTTGAGAAGAGTAAAAAATTAAATAAATTAATACTCATTTCCTGCTATTTTCTCTATTTTGTTTCTTCAAAAAATTAATAATCAGGATTATGGTATATCTCCAAATCAAAAGCATTATTCTCAGTAAGTGTTAAGGGAAAAAGTATATAAAACCTGCCACTATTTGCTACCATTAGAACAGCAGCATTACAAGAATCCCATGTCCAAAACTAACAAACTAACTGCACTAAAAGCAGCAGGCAAGACAGAACAGAAAGCTATTTTAGGGCTTCCTTCACCTGAATTTGAACTATTCCTAACAGCAAGCAACTATTTTTTAATTCACCAGCATAGGATGACTGCTGAGACAAAACCCGCAATACAGAATACATTCAACCAAAGAAAAAGAACACCTGACCATGTCTGTTCCCACTTTTAGCTGCTAACTAAAATCAAGAAAATTTAATTATCACTAGTTAAATGCCACAATCATTTTTTATTTTAACATTAAGGAAGGAAGCTATTGCAAGTTTGATATAGGATGCATTCCTGCAAAAACTAAAAGATGATACTAAAATCAATACCATTTAATATGGTTTTATGGAAAACCTAATTATATACATTCAACATTTTTTCTAACAAGGCCACAAGTTTTATTTACAAGGTAAACTATGTCTACAGAGGTTCTCAGACATTACAGAGAGGTACACAGTATAGAAGACTAAATTACGCTGAAGTTTGTGAACATTTCTGGTTAAGAAATTAACTGCATTTAAAAATCTATACAGTACAAATATACTAGGACACAGAAAACAAGAGCAGGAAAAAAAAAGCACTAGTTAAGGTGCTTGGGACATGAATGCATGATGGTGCTGTTGTGAGCAGGACTAAATTGACAGTTTTGTATATACTTAAGGGAACATTACAAGATGAGAAAAAATACAGAGGAGCACCAGGCTTCACCCAGACCTAAATTTAAGAGATTCTGAAAATGTGTTTAAATTAAATACTGAAGGATAGGTGACAAGTGCAAAAGACCACAAAGATTAAGGTGATTCACCTTGCAGTGGTAAAGTCATGAAGACTATTTTAAAGTGAAGGGTTTTAACAGGAAAAAAACAGTTGAAACAAATCGTTGGGTTCGTTTTCTTTTTCTTTGTAGTTGCTTTTAAAAATATAAATCTGCATACTACCACAATAATGGAGGAAGCCTAATAAGGTGTCAAAATCAGAATGCCTAGCTGTAGACAGGGATTATTGGCGAACATGCATTCAAACAAGTTTCTGAAAAACATTGTTATAATGCCAGTGGAACACTACCACATCAGAATATTGAGGACAGAAAGTAGGATGCATTGTTTGTGAAGCAATGCCATCTGTTAGAAGCAGTTTAGTGTCAAATCTGATTAACAGGCTATTTTAACAAGTAACAGAATCCCTGGGGAATTAAATACTCACATTGTATTGAAAAGCACAGTGTTAGGACTATATGAGCAACAGTCTGGTCACAATGGTAAGAATAACTGTGACACACTGAAGGAGACAAAAGAAGTTCCAAAGACAGAAGCAACAAAATATTGTAGGCTTCAACTGTCAGAACAGGACAGGAAGCCAAGATTAAAAGTCTAGACACCATTAATGACTCCTTCACCTAGCAAGCTGTCAGAGAAGCCATATGAGGAGAAAGTGTTCTTGACTTCATCAGAAGTAAAACACAAATTTTATTTTGAAATCCTATTCAAAGTGACACTGCTTGAGAGTTACTCTGTAATGGTGATTAAAGAAGTACTCAAAAATCCTTTAACAGAGTGATAAACAGTCAAATGTTTGTGTTTATCTTCAACAACCTGAACTATATAAAGATAAAAAGCTTCTTAACAAAACAAAAACAAACCACAAAAAGGATTAAAAAGGTTCCAAGAACAGTTAAATCCTTGAAAGCAGCATGAAGGCTATTTAAAAGCCTCATATTTGATGCTAATCATCAAAGATTTTAGAAAGGGGAAGAAAAAAAATCTAGCATAGCTAAATAGCAGTGAAAGGAAGCTTCAGTAGAAGAAAACATCTTTAAAACAGCTAAAGTTTTGTCAAAGGAGGAAAACAAAAAAGACTGTAAATTGTGACAAGTGAAATGTAAAAACACTGTAAGGCAGGTCAATAAGGATAATTTTATCAACTTGAAAAATAAAAAGTAGAATGCAACAGCAACAGACCTGCCAGAGAGCCAGTGGAGTAAAAAGTAATCTGTGTACGAAAAGGGTCTTCAAAGAAGGTGAACCCATAGCAAAACAAGCTTTTCAATTTGCTGTACCCTTATAGTCTGGAGAGGTTCTCTATGAAAGATCTCTCAATAATGGAAAACACTTTAAAGACAGCCTCAAAACAAAGCTAAGAACTGCATTACTCAAAGCCAAAACCTTACAGTTATAATACACAGTCCTATAAAACAGATGGTCCTGTAACATGTAGACCTATAAAAAACAGAAAAGATGACTGCTGCAAAAGTCCCTACCAAGCTTACATCTTTGGATATTGTTCCTCTACCCTGAAAAAACAAAAAACTAAAATAATAAATCATGATTATCCTTAAAAGGTACAGAAATAAGGACAAACAACAACACAGCACAGTTCCATACAAGCAGCATTTAAATTAACTAGAATTTTTCTGCCTGTAAAGGCTGGAACTGAGGAGTAGAGAAAAGGCAAAGCGTAAAACGAAGAACTACCAAATCACATGTATCATGGAGAAGATGACTAGCAAACGATCTCTCTGAAACTACTGTCTGCTCTTTTAGCTGATCTCTCCCTGCTGCTGCACCGGGAGACACAGAGAACATAAAAGGAGGCAGTTCTTCACAAACGGTAAGATGGGTACACATCCACTTGATGATAAATTCTTGGAAGGAAAGTCCATCAAGAACTAATAAGTGAAAAGACACTAGTTGGGGCTCAGCAGGGCCATAAGAGACCTAAGAAAGTATTCTGGACAAATACCACTGTGTGCTTGCCCTGCTCTTACATTTCTCTATTTAGACATCCATCATGAGCTTCTGTTAGAGGCATGATGTATCAGGTGTGCCACAAAATTAAGATCCAGCTTACTGATACCTTTTTAGATTTTTTTGTTTAAGTCACAATAAGAGCACTACACAGTGTAGACTTTAACACAGCTCAGCTGCTCTAGCATTCAAATACTCTATTTCACCAACATAAAATCTCTAAATATTTGACATAAATATATCATCTCCAATACAAAGGCAGAGAAATAGACTAGCAACAGGCTGGAGATCAATTTTAGATGGTTAGCTTGAGTTACTGGAACATTAAATATCCGGGTTACATTGACTGTCTTCAGACCTGTCTAAGCGCTGGGCAGAAACCGGAGCCTGCCTCATGCCACTTGATGAAACAGCCACCCCAACAGGAAAAGGGCACAAGGCTCTTATCTCCCATCTCTGTCTGAAGCGTATCTTCAAACTCCCACAAGAACCAAATATACTGTTTTCAACCAGCCTGCTACTAGTTGTGTCAAAATAAACTTTTATTTAAAACTACTGAACTTTAACTGATGAAGACCAATAAAAGCATATGTATTTTTTTTTTCTTTTACACACACCAGTTTTACAAACGCTCCTGGAAAAAGTTAAGGTTCTTTAAGAGAAGACAACTGCTGACACATATTTGTGTTGGATAGAATTTACAAAATTCAGAACTGGATTAAAAAGGATGTTCTAATAACTAGGAAATTAAATTATTTTAAGCCGTTTAGAATAATCAGTTTACCAAACGTATCAGCAAGGTAGCTTTTCCATCATTAAAAAAAAAAAAAAAAAAAAGCCGTAATAGATTAGTTTATAGCAAGACTTTATCTTTTTTTATGTTCTAAGATCGCCCTCAGGTGGCTAAATGCAACACTGCTGAGGTTACTACTAAAACACTGTCCTACAACATCGTACCGTAAGCAACAGAGATACCAAGAGCACTCGGAACCTCGCAAAGAATAAGCACGAACTCCGCGATCAGCCATCAACCTCAGGAAGCCCTGGCTGAAACGCTCCGAACCTGGTTTTTGGAAGCACAAATAACAGAAATGTATCTGAAGTCGGATACAGTTCAGCAGTTGCAGTATCAGATACACCAGGCACTCCTGACAGTTCTAGGTTCAACTACCCTCAGGATACTTTTTATTAAGAGAAGTGCGATTGAATACATACAAACTTAGTAGCAGCAATAGTGGCAGTAGTAAGAGCCTTAATTTCTCATCTAAAACTGGATCAGACAAGATAAAGCAGTCCTGAAATACTTTTACAACAGTAAATAACTAAGTAACATAGCACCTGTTAAGATATTCTGATCTTTAGATGCAAGTTACTCTTCTGACAGTACTGTTCTCTTTGGCATAAAATTCTGTTTGCGTTGTAAACTAATTGTTTGTAAATACTCCATAGGGCAGCTAGAAGTAACTTAGGATTCTAAATATCAATTAAAATGTCACCTCAGGAAATGACAACCAAAAGACAAATTTGAGTATTCAGGGTAATTAACTAGCATTAAATTATGCAACATCACCTCACAAACCTGCTGTGCAACAAACACACGGGGATTGTGAAATGCAGAAAGCACGTACACAATATTGCTATGGCTATCACGCCTAGGTAATTTTACTTACACTTGCAATCCCCATGAAAGTCAGGCCAGTGTAAGGCCCATAAAGGACTGAGACGACAATGCAGTGGAAACATCTAACTTTTAACTTATCTCCCTTCTGCAGCCGAACGCTTAGGCTCTCGAGCTAAAACTATTTACACGAGCTGTCAAGGGGAAAACATGCCCATTTTAAATCCAGACGTGCAGCAGACCGACACGAACAGGGGGCAGCCCAGCAGCTGCCCAGGAGCGGCGGGACAGGCAGCCGGGAGGCCCCGGGGCTCCGAGCCCGGGCTGCCCCGGCCCCGCCCGGGACCTCCCACCCGCCGCCAGCCCGCGCTGGGGCCGCCCCGGCACCTCCCCACACGCACACGGGGAACCCCACCACGCCCTCCCCCCGCGTGTGGCGGGTCCACGACCCCACAGGGCGCCCGCTCAGCCACCGCCTCCCTTTGACGCCAGCGGAGGGGCGATGGGGGTCACCCTGCCCAGCGGCGAGGGAACTACTTCTCGTGCGGATGGAGCGTTGACGACACACGCCCGCCGGAACTACTTCCCCCCCTCTCCCCCCTCCCCATTCAGCGCCGGCGCTGCTGTAAGGGGATCCGTGCGCGCTCCCCCGCCCTTCCCGCCCGCCGCTTGCGGCCGGCCCGGCCCCGCGCCGCCCCGCTCACCTGCAGCCGCAGCCTCCATAGCCGCGGCGGGGAAGGGGCGGGGGGGCGGCGGGGGAGCCGAGCGGCGCGGCCTGGTTGAAAACGAAAAGGAGCGGGGAAAAGGGTGAAACAAAAATCACTTCCGCGCCAGGGGGCCGGGCCTCACACGGGCCGCGTGAGGCCCCCCCCCCGCCCCCCCCCGCGGGCCTTCCCCCCTGTGGTGAAGAAAATATTATTTTAATGGGTGGGGGAGCGGGCGGGGGCGAGGCCGGCCGGGCGGCGGGTTATGGCGAATCTGCCGCGTCCGACACGGCGGCTTCTTCCCCCGCGACGTCGCACAGAGGGCGCGAGGGGGGGGGGGGGGGCGGGGCGCGAGGGCAGGGGCGGTGGCGCACGCACCGCCCAACGGCCGGGCGGCGGCGCCTGCGCAGTGGTGGCCCCGCGCCCTGCCCCGAGGCCGCAGCTGCTCCCCGCGTCCCCGCTGAGGGCCGGGGGTCCCGGGTGGGACGCGGCGGAGCCCCCTCAGGCCGCCGATGCTCCAGCTGCCGGGACGGCGGCTCCGGGCCCGACCCTGCCCCGGCGCCCGCAGGAGGATGAGACTTGCCCCAGGCCTGCTGACACAGCCCTCGGAGCCGTTTTCATTTCCCACTGGGGATTGCAAACGTGTCTCGGAGAACCTGGTGCTACCAGGTAATGGGGCCAGTTTGAAAGAAAATACCCTTTTCCACCATATTAGCAAGTCCGTAAACAAATACTTGTGTGGTAGTTCACTTGGACTGATGCTGAAGGCCATGACTGTTTCGTAAGCTTATTTTTATCTGAGTGCACTTCAGAAGTTCTACACTTGCCTCAGCAAGCCATAGATCAGCATGCATCAAGAGTCCCTTTTGTTTGATTCAGCTCCTAAGTTATTAATTTGGGTATTATTTCTTTAGTTTTTTTTTTTTTTTTTTCTTAATAGGAGCTCGAAGAGAGGTGTTTCCATGATACAGTAGAACTAATGATGCTGGAATATGCCTAAGCACCCACTTTTCTCAGGTTTTTCTGTTTTGTTTGTACGTTAACAACCACTGAATACCAGGGGGGTTTTAATCACTTTCACTCTTAAGTAATTGTAAATGTTGTATGCATTCAATATTAATGAATTTAGTGCTGAATTTCGTAACGTCTGTTACTGCAGTTAATTTCAGTACAAATGACTGTGTAGGGATCTCATTATCCTTCCTAAACATTAATAGTATTATTTTTTTGTCATGCTGCAGATGTACTCAATGAAGTGTAAAGGGTAAAAATTGTGAAAACAAGAATTCATTTCAGTATTAAATTACAATAAATAATTTCCTGTTGTAAGAGAAATAATGCATATATATTAATTGAGGAATAGCTTATAAAAATATTTTTTAAACTTCACTGCTTATATCTCATTGTGACAAGTAAAATTTAGCCACAGGCAAAAGGCCACAAAACCTATATGTAGGACAAAACAGTGTTTAACCTAGAAAATACTTATATGGTGGTTCACATCATAAATAGTGACTCCAGAGCCCCAAACCCGAGTCACCACAGCTCTGGGACTGAGCCACCTCTGCCAGCACTTGGTCATTTTCTGACCATTTCTGCTGTTTTCCACTGTAACGTTATTGGTGCAGTCTTGGTGATCTTCTTGCCTTGGTGGAAGCAGCCATTCTACCTCCCCTCCGCCCGCCTCTAACCCTTCTCTGCCGGACACTGAAATAATTAGGATCTCTATCTTAACAGCCAGCCTCACAGTTTTACCCTGTGCTCTTTTCTTGGAAGAGTCTTTTGGACTGAACAGAAAAATCCATCACATACAAGGGCTCCTTGAAGCGAACGCCCTTAGATCAGATACAAGAGAAGATGGAGAACAAACCACTGCCCGGTAGCCAAAGGCAGGCGGGTCCCTGTTATTTAACACACCAGGACCTATGGGAAGCTACAGTCGAGGATCTAGCAGGGGTGGGAGCGTGGAGATTTCTAACAAATGTTAAGATCATTATGAGTAGAGGTGTGAGTGTTGGGAACACAGGGAGCTGAAGCAGCGTGTGCTCATCAGGTCATCGATACCGTGGCACACTTTCACGTGGCTCCTCAAGACCCAGATCAGCAAAGCAGAGGGCAGAAGCACCCAGAGAGGACATGAGACAGTACCTCAGCAGTGCTGCCAATGGCTCACGGGGTGGGGCAAGATGAACACGCAAGAGATTAAAATTACTGTCAGCTCCTAAACAGCACAAAAACCACCTCCAAACACCAAGCTTGGAACAACCAGGAAACGTGATGGCCTGCATCCCTTGTCCTCCGTGTCACCACAAGTGATTCCCACTGGACTGCCTGAACAAACTTCCTTGGTGCTTATGACAGGGTGAGTGCAAGGAAATGAAATAATGGGTGTGTGGAACAGTCACCTCTCCTGGCTGGTGTCAGGGTCCGTCCTGCTACACTACTGGCAGCATTACACAGACTTATATTGAGTTTTGCTACATCAGTTGCTACAGATGCAAGAGGAGGGCTTGACCAGAGCCAGTCTGGGGCCCCAGCAGAAAGACTGTGACTAAGCAGCTGTACTCTACCAATGTTCATCCCACTGACACTCCTCTTGCTCAGAATGATTTGCAGGAGACAGCTAATAGGGGAACATGCTATTTAGAATTTATGTCAGAGACCCAAATACAAGGCAGAAGGGAAAGACAACAAAACCTTTCCAGAGGCCATGGTCACACTACTCTAATAAATTTCTTAATTTGTTTCCTCTGACCTGAATGACAGAGCAACATTATAGCACAGTCATGCATGGATATTCTGACCTGATGACAGGCAACATTCAGGAATCTGTCTTTAGCTTGCTGCCTTGACTTGTCCTCTTCACCTTCTGGACTCTTCTGTTGCCCCCTTTTGCCCCTCTTCCCATCCCTGCTCACTACTGCACCTACCAGCTTCTGGAGAATGTTTTCTACTAGGAGCAATAAAGATGAAAGCACATTTGTGCTCAGGCACTCACTACCCATGCAAGGAAGGGATTGTGCTCTTTTTAGGACATGAGTAATATTCATCCTTACCTTGCCATTGAAAGAACATTCTCTGGTCCTTGAGTCACTGAGCATCATTAGAGCAAGTAGGGTGGGTTCTCCTTCCAAGAAAAGTGCTTGTCCCGAACCTTTCACATAATTAGAACCACTGGTTGAGCATCAATATGACAAGTGGTGTGTTACTTTTTACATACGGTTGTCACACACAGTTCTGCTTTGCACAATTACAAGCCTGTGTAAAAGGCCACAATAATAAAGGCTTGTTCTTTACCAAAGAGAAAAAAAATCAAAGCTGGAATTTCTGAGATTTGATGTCTGTCCCAGCCAAAATGTTCTGGGAGCTCTGTATGTTGGAGCTCAGAAGAGAAGGAGACAAGCTATCCCTGCGTGGCCAGGTCACAGCCACTTTAAAACAAAGTCTTTGCAACTCTGAATCACAATTTCCACAGCTTAACTAAACACCATCAAGTTCGTTCAGAAATTCCACCACGTGACATCTTGTTAAAACCCACATAGCTCATCACCAGCACGAGCTCAGATGCCCCTCACACAACAGCTACTCCAGCTAACAGCATAACCAGCATCAATTGGAAGCGTCCTCTCGGACAACAGCCCGCACCCCAGGAGGGAACCCAGTCCCAGTCTGTTTATTCATCTCATTCTGTCCTCGTTTCCTTATTGACTAAATTTAAGGTTCACTCTCCACCCATATATTCCCTGTCTCTCCTGTACCTCTTAGTCTGACCTCTTGCTACCTTTCAGCATCCAGTTCCAATTTTAATTCGCAAGAATATATTTCTTGTTTTCCTCAAAGATTCTTTCCAGGCACTTTCTGCACTTAGTCTCTCGCTCCAGCTTCTGTCGAGCCACTCACAGATAAGCTCCTGTGCACACAAGTGTTCAAATACAGCTACTGGTTCCCTCCCTTCAGTCCTGAGTAGTTCATCTTTCTAGCCCTCATGTCTAGCCAATATCAGTTGACTTCTCCTTAAACAACTCTCATATAATAATAATGAAAAACACTAGAAAATGCAAAGTTCACATATAGATCAAGTTAAGTACTGCACAGGGCTTCAGCTTGCTTCTGCAGCTGGAATCCAGGAAGAGAGTGTAGATGTCCTGACTGAGGGCACAGCAGATACTGACAACTCCTTTCCTCAGTTAGGCAGGTTGGCTTTATTCACTAGCAATGGGAAAAGCACTTCACTGAAAAAGTGTTTTCACGGGTGTGAAGCCAGAGTGCACCTTGCTTAGCTGTTCAGTAAGGGTGGTCCGACAGAATTAAAGTAGTAAAATCACTAAAAAGTTAGAATTAGTACTGCTTTGCACAGCTTTCATCTCCATTTGGTTTTGCATAACCTATTTCTGGGAATCTTTAACATCAGTCATATACTGCATTTATCCAGGATCTCTGACCTGACATTATTGTCAATGGACCTGACCTAGATATGAGTTAGGGCCACAAAGCAAAGGGGGTTGTCTGTAAAACAAGACTGCCTTGTTTGTTACAGAAGCTGGAAAATACTGAGAAGTAAACATGAGGTTTTAAAAAGGAATAGATTTTCTCAAAGAGTTAGTTTGTGATATAGAAACTGTTCATTAATTGTGTCTTTTCTGTTTGATCACCATGGCATCTTGCAATGTGGTTTGAAAAGCGT